TCATTACACAGTGTGGCTCTAATTCCTCTCTTCGCAGCTTCCCGTCTCCAAAATGAGCGTACGCATGGGTCAGAGCTGGCTGAGGCACCGCACATTTTCACGTCAAGTTTGGATTTTATAAATCACAACCTTGGCGTAAAAAGTGGCGTACGCAAGTTTCTGGGCTCAAATTGTGCGTACGCCAGTTTTATAAATCCGACCCCAGATCTTTCACCTRTAGAGAACATTTAGTGCATCATAAAGAGGAAGGTACGACAAAGAAAGCCCAAGACGATTGAACAGTTAGAGGCCTGTATGAGACATAAATGGGAGAGCATTCCTATTTCTAAACTTGAGAAACTGGTCTCCTCTGTCTCCAGACGTCTGTTGAGTGTTGTAAGAAGAAGGGGGGATGCCACACAGTGGCAAAAAATGGCCTTGTCCCAACKTTTTTGGGATTTGTTGACACCATGAAAATTTGAAACAACATATTTTTCCCTTAAAATGATATGTTCTCTCAGTTTAAACTTTTGATCTGTGATTTTTGCTCTATTCTGAATAAAATGTTAGATGTTGGCACCTCCACATCATTGCATTCAGTTTTTATTCACAATGTGTTCAGTGTCCCAACTTTTTTGGAATCCGCTTTGTAATTTCAGATCACAGCTTTATTATTTTGTGATCAAAGCGTGCAAAGAAGGATAACAATCTGTAAGAAGGCCAAATGTTGGTAAAATTTAAAAACCAGAACAAGAGGAAGAGGAAAATTATTAAAAGTTCTTAATTTATTGTCTTTGGAAAAAAACAAAGTGAGCTCAGTTTTTGTTTAAAGTACTAGTAAACAAGTTCACATGACACAAACAAGACAAAGTTCAAAAAGCTAAAAATAAAAAAGCTTTAAAGAAGTCAAAGCTAAATGTGTTAGCTAAACACCATAAGTAAAATGTAGCCACTAATAGTAACATAATTTTAGCATGCTGCTTTAAAATAAACTGAGGTAATAAAAAAAAAACTTTAAAGTCAAACATAACAAAACATATTTCATTTCCTCCTATCAGGGAGTCGCAGCTGTAAGGTTCTTTTGGCTAAACAATCTCTGGTAAACTTTTGTTTTTAGTGAWACAATTTCAAAGCAATTCATCCAAATATATAACGCAGCCAGAATTCCAGTTGGCTTGTTGTGTTCGGGGACTCCATTAATCAGAAGCCCCTTTTGCTGTTCCCCGCTTGAGACTTGCTATGCAAATTGTTCTGATCAACTCCCTTTATTAAATTGGCTTGTTCATTGCCACATCTATTCAGCTGGAGGCCCAAAGGTAGCCGCTGCATCTCGAGTCGAGGCTGTTATCTCAGACGAAGGGGGTGAATGGTGAAGAGGGAAGGTAGAGCAGGGGGGAGAAGCATTTTCATAACCCAGACGAGTCTGAAGCAGCCGTCTGAGTGATTGACTCCATGTTGGTATTCACTGATGCCTTGATAAACGGGAGCCGTTGTCGGTGCATCTACGTGTATTCAGTAAAAATTGACACGCCGTGGGAGATAAATCAACAGAGTTGAAAGCGGAGGTGCCGTAACACATTTCCAACCTGAAACGTATCGTTTTCTCTCTCCCTGTTCATTTCCCCAAAGAGACCCGGGCTGTCGGACAGAAAGGAGTGGCCAAGTTGTGCTGTAGGTGACCGACACTCGCTTGTGCATTCATATGCAAAACTGACATAATTGCCTTGAACAGTGTACAGTTAAAAAAAAAACTTGCATCAATATTGGAATCGAAATGCAATTAGGATGTCCTTGACAGAAATGTCAAGAAACCAGCTATCACTGTTTTATACCCACTCTGCCCCAAACTTACAAGGCTGTTTAGATAAAATGGGACAAATTACGTGTCGTGTCTTTAAAACTTCTCATTACATTTGATTTATTTTACGGTCAGCCGTGAAGCTTCAGTAATATAGAGGAGAAAGAAAGAAACTAACTAAATAATTACCAAAATTCAAACTTAAATCATCTTTCTTCTTTAAAACTCAATAGTAATTTAGGATACACTTTGGTCATGATCTAAGCTGAACAAATGTCTGTTTTGAGGTAAAAACTGAATAAAATGTGAAAAGAACCAAAATCCAAATGTGTCAGGTGGTGGAGGTTGTGTGATGCTGAACACTGATTCTGAATTTGTTGTACTACAGAAGACAAAAGACTGTGTTCTATTTATAAAACACAATTAAAAGCCCAAGAAGCAACCCCTCCATATCTCTCCTCCCACACAGACACAACTTGGAAGTGCACAAACAGATAGGACAAGTCAGCACTTGTCAAATGCAAGACATTTGAGTGTCCTGCACACCCTCTTGCAGGACACTGGACAGGAGAGGCAAAACCCAGGACTGTTCCGCCCAAATCGGGATGTTTGGCAGGAATGCACTTGGAACAAGAGTTAGCCTAAGTTTAACCAGTTAAACATGTACCATGTGTACCCACACAAAAGGCAAAGGCTTGTCCTGCCACAACTGCCACAAAAGAAATGTTAAAGTTGCTGCCAGTGATTCATTAGGGTCGACATGGTAACCACCACACCTGACTTTCTCATTTCCTGAAACTAAACTTAAGGGAACAGACAGACACCAAATGAATAATAATCCCCAAAACAAACTGTGTGAAAACTGTAAGTCACATTGAAGACACCCCGTCAAAAGCATCTGGTTGTCAAACATGTCAGTTTTTGTTTTGTTTCGTTTGTTTGTGTTTTGTAAGAGATGTAAGTTAAAAAAAAAACATAATTTCCAATTTGAGGAAAAAAAAGAAAAAGTCTGAGCTCAGATACAATGAAAGTCAGTAACAGCTTGGATGTGTGCACACCGCGATCTGGGAGAGTTTGAGAGTTTTGTGGCACCGAGAGTTACACAGGGTGAAACAAGACAAAAACCTGTTTCTTTTAATGTATAAACTGTATAATGAGTGGAAATATAATGTAAATAGGAAAAGGCTCAATACTTAGTGAAATCACCACACTCTAAAATAAACACTCCATGGTTAAAAGTGCCTAAGATCAAAAAACTTAACCTAAAAACTTAAATGACCAATCACTAAAACTTCTATGTAAGGACACCCTTGAACTATGTCAGTTTTCAAATAATAAATGTCCTGCTATTTAAGTGGGAAAAAAATAATCATAAATGTGCTAACACTTTAAATATGTGTCTCCTTAGATGCCCATTAAGTGGATGGCTCTGGAGTGCATTCACTACAGGAAGTTCACTCATCAGAGTGACGTGTGGAGCTACGGTGGGCATCAAATGTACTCCGTGTCAATGGCCTGAAATCCCRTTTCCTTTCTTTTTTCTGTCTCACTTCAGGCATCTTCTTTACCCATCCTTGATTATTTCTTCTCCTTTCCTTAGGAGTGACTATATGGGAGCTGATGACGTTTGGCGGCAAACCGTACGACGGTATCCCCACGCGAGAAATCCCAGACATCCTGGAGAAAGGGGAGCGCCTGCCCCAGCCGCCCATTTGCACCATTGATGTCTACATGGTTATGGTCAAATGTAAGAGAATGTCTTCCAACACAAAAAAAAAAAACTCCTTCATATATGTCTGGCTAAATGAGTCACACTCAGGTATTTTTCAATATTACGTTAATATTTTTAAAATTTTCCATCTCAAAATCTTCAAAATGGTATGTCATTTGTTGAAATTTGGCAAAGTATCACATGTCCTGGCAACAAACTAGTTTTGTTTACAAGAGTGGTTTGAAAACTCAGTTTTTATTGGTCTTGACTGATCATCAGGAATTCCGGCTGTATATTTATCTCCAAGCTTAACAAAGTTGCCAAACCTTATATGAAGGGATTTCCCAGCTTTACCGCAGCTGACAGAGAAAAACTTTCAATTTGTAAGGAAATGATAAGGCCAAGATTAATTCCAAAGACACATCTGTTACAAAACTTTGATTTAATGTTGGATTAGGAAGATTAAATTCTATTTTAGTTATGGGGATTGCTAGTGGTGTCCTTGTGAACTCTTTTTTTCATTTTTTACACAAATCTTAATTATGGCCAAAATAATGTTTTACTTTTATTTTGCCAGAACAGCTCACATATTCAACAAGCAGGAAGTATGACACAATTTATAATTGGTGTAAGGCAACAAACTTGTTACTGAGAGATGGCAGCACTTTTGTTATGATTAGCCATGTTGCTTCTTTTGAGTTGTAACACAGATATGAAGTGAAAATATAGCTTATTTAGTAAATATAAGTTGCTACTTGCTTTCTGTTTAGTAAAATGGATCAGTATTGTAACTTTCTTGCCTTGAAATTAGGTCAAAAGTAGTCRTATAAACTTTTCTCACCACTGTTAGCTTAATATTCAGCTGGTGTCAGCAGCAGAGCCTAGCAAGGTACGAGCCCTGGCTCTGTCTGTGAGCACCTCTAAAACTCACTAATTAAAACATTATATCTTGTCTAATGCATGCAAAAGYACAGAAGTGATCGGGATTGCACATGCTGGACTCGTGGCTTCAAGTGGTACCTGCTTTGATACCGTTGCCAGGCAACTACTGTAACAGGGAGTTGATAAAGATGCTGCATCTAAATAAATGAAGTCTCAAAAAGCAAAATAAATAAATAAATAAATAAATAAATAAATAAATAAAAAGAAAAGTTCAGTACAATTACTGTAAAATTTAATGAAGTTTAACCTAATTTTGTTTAAGCT